AAATGTCGTACCGATTAAGCAGACTTATTTTTGTTTATTTAGTAAAAAATAATTAAAGTTTATTGGACGTCAAGATTTGATCCAGTTAATTAAATTCAGTCTGTTTTCAGACACTGTAAAAAATGAAATGTTGGATTTACTTAAACCATGTTAAGTAAATGTTAAGTGGAACCAGGTCACATAACATGGTTAAGTAAATCCAACATTTCATTTTTACAGTGCAGATCATTGATAATAAAATGTTAAATTGCTGCTTTTTAAAAGGTGTTTTTTTCTGTTAGTGTTCAGTTTTCAGACGGAGTGGAGGCGGATCCACAGACCAGCTGTGGTGGAAATGGAGGGGGAGCTGCGGGTGTGTGTTGTTGTTGTTGTTGTTGTTGTTGTTGTTGTTGTTGTTGTTCCCCTCTGGTGTACACAGGCTGCCACATCACACTCAGCACATCTGGACCAGCCTCTCTGCAGCACCTCTGCTCCTCAGCTCGCGCGCGAGGATTTAAAGGAGTTCGCGGCTGCGCCTCCTCCTCCTCCTCCTCCTCCTCCTCCTCCTCCTCTGACTGTGTCGCTGCTGAGAGTTTAAACCGAGCAGGAGGCTGGCAGGTTCGGGCTCGCACAGTTTATGGACCTTCTCGCAACAAGCAGGTCGCGCGCGGCTGACGGTGAGCGCGGGAAGATGCTGAAGGACTTCAAAGTGGAGGAACGTGACGGCGGCTCTCTGCACGCGCTCATGGGTGAGTTTATCCTCCTGCATGGTTCATATAATGTGTCATAATCCTGATGTTTCTCCTCTTATCCGTTTATGTGTCACAGATCTGTGGAAAAGGTTTCAGAACTTTTTTAACGTGGAAAAAAATGTTTTAGGAATTAAAAATATATCACTCGCCTCTTTATTTTAGAAATAATTATTTAACACACTCACAAAATAGGCCTACTATAATAATAACAACGGAAATGATAATCACATTTCCCACAAATGTTATTCAGATTATCCCCCCCCCCTTTTTTTTTACACATTTAACTGTCATTATTTTAATGCGCAGTGAGGATTCAACAATAATCATATTTCTCATTAATAAATGCTGGTGATCAAAAGAAAAGTCATTTAATTTGGGTAAAGCTTCCAACCTCCTTCAGTTTTGAATTTCACATTAATTCATCTAACCAACATTACTCATTTTTGTTTGTTTAAAACAGAACTGATCGGACGTATAAAATATAATTTGGGGAACAACTGACCCAGTCCAACCAAGCATTTTAATTCAAATTATTAAGAGATTTTTTTATTCAAGAATGTGACATTTAAAAAAAATGCAAGTTTTATATAAAAGATCCAAAGGTTTCTGAGATAAAACTGGTTACACTCTAGATTAGAATAAAAAATGTAAAACTGCTTTATTGCTTCTTTTAGTGTAAATTGGTTTATCATCATCATCATCATCACTCTCAGTAATAAATTAACATGAACTGCATATAGACAATTTTATCAGTTTCTACATAATTTAAAGAGCAGCATGCACACACACACACACACACACACACACACACACACACACACACACACACACACACACACACACACATATATATATATATATATATATAAATATATAGGTGACGCATTATTGCATTTTAAAGAGAATCTGATGCGATCTGCAGTGCAGAGAAAAGAAAGGTTAAAGAAGAGACAAACAACATGAATAAAGAGACATGATGAGGAGTAAAAATAAAGAAAATTAAATGAAAAAAAGGATTTTGCTCTTTGTATACTTTCAGAAAACTGATTGTCAGAGAAAATCAAGCATTTACCTGTTCACGCGCGCGCGTGCGCACTCACAGAAAGAGAGGTTATAAAAACCATTACAGCTGAATATTTTAGTTTTACTTTCAGCCTTCATTCTTTCAGCTTTTTGTTGTGAAAAACGTCACAATAAAACATGTTTGACGTTTTTTGATTTAATGCAGATTTCCTGAACCCGCAGACAACTGTCCTTTCCTCCTTTGCTCCTTAGTGTTTTCTTTCTTGTCGGCTCTTCTTCCTCGCGCTGCTGACCTTCCTGTCCCTCCTGTCCCAGTCTGAACTTGTTCCCCCACCGCGTGTCCCCTCAGGCGGCGAGTGTCCCCCGCGGGCCGTGTGTGAGGGCTGCACGCGCACCATATCCGACCGCTTCCTGATGCGGGTGAACGGCGCGTCTTGGCACGAGGAGTGTCTGCAGTGCGCCGCGTGCCAGCAGCCGCTCACCGCCACCTGCTACTGCAAGGACACCAAACTGTACTGCAGGAGCGACTACCAACAGTAAGGCAGGCCCGAGGGTCCCGAGGGGCTCCGACCGGTTAGAAGCACGTGCCTGAATCCAGCGCGATTTGTTGCGCTTTGTGTTTCTCTGTGGCGCAAAAGGCAATGAAGAGACGACTCATAAATAAACACATAAAATGTTTTTTTTTAACTTTAACTTAGATAAGTAATAGGAAAAGAGAGAAGTCATTTTGTTCAGGTTAATAAAAAATATATATTTTTAAGATAACAGTGATAATATCTGCTCTTTTAATGTCAGATAAAAATAACTTCCAGAGCTGCACACACTGAGCTGTAAAAGAGAAAAAATATAATCTGACGTCTGTGTTGCAGACAGCCACAGCATGAATTAATATATCAGAGTGAAAACAGAGGAAATTAGCATTACATCAACAATTATTCAGTCAAAACAGCTCATGTGTAAACTGTTAAAATGTTTGCATTTTAAGGGTATTAATTTAAAGCTTGTTATTTTAACTCTGGTGAGACCAAAGATAAATTTGTTTTGGTCATTTGTGGAACCTTAAAGAAGCAACAGAGCAGATAAATAAATAATTAGTTGCTATCTTAATGGTTTTATTGCCTCCTAATGACTCATTTATAGCAGGTTCTGTGTGAACATGTTGATAAGAGCACCAGGTTGAAGTGGGCGATTTTTCAGGGGAGGGTTTCAACCCTCAGCTCGTAACCCCACCCTGACCCTAATCAGATATAAAAACACTGTATTTAAAGTGTAACATGTAAGACAGTGTGAGTATGAATGGGTAAAAATAAAAGCGCTTTGCAGAACCTGAAGAGGTTATAAAGGCTCTCTGTAAACGTAACGTTTGAAGCGGTTGCAAATCTAAAACCCTCTGAAGGCCCTTTTGCAACGTTTTAGCTCCCAAACCACAAAGTGATTGTGACAGAGGTTTGAGACCCCATTGGTTCAAACACTTAAACGTGAGAACAATGAGAAAATAAAGTCTCAACATATACTAAAATGAAATAAATTCTAATTTATTTGACTTTTTTTTGTAAAATGTAGAAAGAAACAATCCTAAACAATCATTAATGCAAGGACATTATAAGGACCCCCGCTTGGTGTTCTTTGACCCACTGCCATAATGAACTTTTGACCTGAACATCAGCAGTCGTGTTACAATATAACAAAAGATTTATGATTGGAGTTAGTTAAAGTTTTGGAATATGTACTGAATCTGCACGTTCTGTGAAATTTGTAGAAAATGGTGAAAATGAGTTCCAGTGAAAACAGAGGAGCGCTGCAGAGTGTTTGTGTTCAGGCTGGTTTGTGTGAAGTGTTGTTGAAGAGCAGCCTTGTTGTTGGAAGGAAATCCCCCCGTAGCTGGGTGGTCTGCGGGTTTTCTTCAGAGAAGCTGGCACAGACTGCAGGCCGTCTGACTGTCGCATCCTCTCTGCTGGGTTTCTCTCTGCTCTGCAGGCCTTTGTCCTCCTCTGAGGCTTTAACCACCACTGAGCTGGAAGTCTGACCAGCAGCTGGCAGCGGGCAGTGAAATTACACACAGAGCCCTTCAACCAGACTCAGTGTGACGGTGATGCTTTTTTTCAGCACTTAAACATTTGCAATTGTTGCAGATTGAGTTAAACATATAAATTAGATGTACAACAAACCGCTTAAATGCAAGTCAAGCATCATAGACTGTTTAAAAAGAAGGAAATCTTGCTCAAATTTACAAATTTGAAACTGAAACTGAGTAAACTGCGCTAATTACAAAAAAGAAAAACAGTAAAATGGGAATTTTTAAAGGACAACAGGATGGCAGAACAATTTTTTCAATATTGCATGAAAAATATAGGAAAACAATAACGATGTGAGTTATGCACTTATAAGATAAATGTAAGATGTCTTACATTTATGAAGTTAACATTTCAAAAAGTTGTATTTTATAGTAAAAAGCTCGAACTGAATAATAAATAATTTAAAGGAGAAATTATCATCTGTTTTGTTTGAGGACAAATATCTGATAGGACCATAAAACATATGATACACAGCATCTTCCACTGCAGCATTGGTTTTTAACAAATAAAATAAAATGTAAAATAATAGGATTAAAGGGACACCATAATAGAGATTTAACAGGGCTGATTGTAGATTTAACAAATG